TAAGCTTAGACTTAAGTGTTTATTTGACTTTTTATGAACTTCATTTTGGCCATGTCAAAAATACATTTGCTTGAATACTTACCTCCCGTGTATCTTGGTACTGTGATGACGACTTGACGACTTCGTAATCGACTTTCGTAATCGTAATCGTAATACTTCGACTTCGTAACGGTCAAAATGTGTCATTCTCCGAACCCCACTCCACTGGGGTTCATGCATATGCAAGCCTTGCCTAGTCCCCGTACGGCGTTTTCCCAGTCCCTCTCGGTCAATTCGTTTCAGTGACGTATCCGGGGGCGAACGGACGGGGAACGCCTGAGACAAAAACAGAATGCGCATGCGTGCGTTGCTTTTCAAAATGGTGGACTTTGTTGAGCTGTTTAAGATGCTGCAAACAGCAGGTAGTTATGGTTTTAAAACCCTTGTCGATGCTTGCGACATAGTATATCGAATTTTGCCGACTTTGAAAAGCCAACAGCATATCATGTATAGTCCTTTGACGATTGATTTCTCCTCGTGTAACCTCATTCCAACTGAACATGTATCGGAGTTTGTTGCTGTTGAAACTGTTGGAGATGGTAACTGTTGCTTCAGAGCCGCTTCGTTGCTGTTATTTGGAACAGAACAATATCACCTAGAACTGCGGGTCAGAACAATTGTTGAGCTTGCAAAATATAGCTTTTATTACTTAGCTGATAGCGAAGTAATAAGTAGGATGGAAGCAGAGATGGCGATTTTGAATGGCAAAGCTGTTCCAGGTTAGAATCCGATATTTATTTCGCACTGTAAGAAAATTACTTTCGTCCTATGTAGATTATGATATGAATGTACTGTAAGAATCAACATTGCTAAATAAAACACTTGTGGACAGATTTAATGCCTTTCTAGTCATGATCTCTTTGCTGCAGTTAAATTTTAATACCAGGTGAAAAAAATAATTATATTGTGTCGAAGTGAATTTTCATTTCCCTTTTTCTCCTTACTCTTATAATTAATAATTGTGGTTAGAATACAAAGTCAATTGACAAACAGCGCGGGTAAAAAGATATTTTTAAGCTTGAATTACAGGTTTAACTTACTGTTTACATTTTATATTTACAATCACAGCTCAAAATTATATTCACGTCAAAAAATTAATCCTAAATTAAATGGTTATTTCATTTTTTCTGGACCTAGGTTGATAAACTTATGTCATGTTTATCACAAAAGTATTGTGTTGAATCCACCTAGCAATTTCACATCTTAAAAATAATTTGTTAAATACATTCACTTCTGTAAAGTTTATTTGCATTTGCTATCTACAGAAAAAATCGAAGACCCTTGTCAGATAAAAGAAATCTTTGAGGCAGAAGTTTTAAACATGTGCAAAGAAAATTCTTGGGCTTGTCGGTGGCAATGGCATGGAATAACTTCAGTTGCTAAAAGACCCATACAAAGTGTATTTCCTGATAAAGTGCCTTCCACTCTCAAAAAAACATTAACTTATTTCATACAGCCACGTGAAATGTCTAATTCATTGAGTCCTCTTCACTTCTTGTGGAGCAAGATGGGGAATACAGTGACCAGCAACTTTATCCCAAATCACTTTGTTCCACTTGTTTCCCGGACCGCTATGGAACTATCTCTAGGTAATGTGACGCTTGATGTCAGGTTTGCTTTTAAGTCAAAAATAAAAATGGCATTGGTTTAATTCATGTTCATTTGAATACATGTAACTTCAGGACCAAAAGACACCATTCTTGAGTACCCATGCCCCCTCTGTTCTGGGTGGTTTAGGAATGTCCAGCAGCACCTGAAATGTCATGACTCTTCAACTACTGACATAAAAATTATAGAGGAATTGAAGAAGATCAAGTTAGGCCAGCTCTTGCTTGAAAAGATTTTTGCCAACACCTCCAAATTGGTATGTATCTTGCTTTGAGAGGCAGTAAAATGTTATAATAAAATAATTGTTTTAGTAAAATCCAACTAGTTGGTAAAAAATATTGAGAATTAAAAAAAATTTAGCTAGTTAAAACTAGACTTCCATCCTTTTTTTGCCGCCAAAAAGCCCGCGCTTTACGCCACTAGTGGACTATAACATATAGCCTAGTAGTAGCTCAACCAATGAGAATGCACCATCGATAATAGACCACTAGTTGGATTTTACTAATAATAAATATTGGGGTGTGTTGAGGAAATATCCTGGTTAAAGATCAATTGTTTCTTGTTTCAAAAGGCGTACCCTATATATCTCTATCCCATTCTGTGGGTTAGTAGTTTCTATACTCTCAAGCCTTCAAAAAGTGCAGTTGTTATCTATAATTCCTGCAATCGGCAGCCCAAAGACCCCCCACCACTGCAATATTATTTTATGTTGAACATGTAGCACAGGACTTGTTAAATATCAGTCCACAGTTTCACATTCTTTTTTGTTCAACCTCTACCCTGGTATTTCCAGTCTATTTTTATACTGTCCTTAGGGTGGGTATTGAAATTTCCTGAAACCATCACCACAAGAAAATTACAATCTTAAGCTTTCAATTGAAGTTTTTGAAGAAAAGATTTCCAGGGATTTAATATACCTGATGGGAAGTTTTTGACAAAAGATTTTCATACAATACATTATTTACTATTTTGTTTGATAGGTTGAAGGGGAGGTGTTTGAGGTGTCTTGCTCTCTAGGATGCTACAGTGTAAAAGCCATTTCAGAGAGAAATGTTGCTCTCAAGTTTGCATGTTTTCTTCTTGTCTCTGGGAAATTGTGTCCATTTCAAGGCAAGCATGAATTCATCTTTGTAAAAGGGCCCAGGCAATGCCTGAAGTTTAAGACCTGGTACAGAAATGTCAATGACCAGATGGAACCAGAGTTGGAATGTATTAGTTTAGTCAGGGCAAGTAATGTTGATGAAAACTTCTCTACATTTGTAACTGATATACATGAAAGAGAGAATGTGTCAAATGTTTCAGCATGCACCACTCCACTGGCTCGTATCTCTATCCCAATCCTTCCTTCTGGAACTGTGACAAGTTCAATTGACCTGCTTGATACACTGAAAACTGTGTGGAGTTATTCAAGTCTTAAGCCACTCCAACAGAAAGCCATTGATTCTATTTTACATGGAAATGATACAATGGTGATTATGCCCACAGGTGGAGGCAAGTCACTTGTTTTTCAGTTGCCAGCAGTCTGTAACCACAAACCAGCCGTTGTTGTATCCCCATTAATTGCACTAATTAATGATCAAATAACTGACCTAAGGTCTAGGGGAGTTGAAGCTGTATCCTTTACAGGAGAGAAGGGCAGTACACGAAGGCAGCAAATTCTTTACAAACTGCGGTCTGGGGATCCAGATTTAAAACTTATTTACACCACCCCTGAAACACTGAATCGGGATGTTGTGTTTAAAGAAATCGTGAAGACAATGGATGAAAAAGATTTGATTTCTTATCTGATTTATGATGAGGCACATTGCATCAGCCAGTGGGGCAATGGTTTCAGGCCTGACTATTTAGCTGTCGCAGAAATGAGTAAGATTCTTGTACCAAAAGCACCCACTATTTTATTGTCTGCAACAGCAACGCAAGATGCTATTGCTGACATCAAATAAAAAATTAGACTACAAAATTTAAATATCATCCAGGGTAGCTTCAATAGGCCTAATCTTTCCTATGAGGTGGAAGAGAAACGGAAAGACACTGAAAAGAATATCATTCAGGTGATCTCTTCCACCGAAAGTGCCCTCATCTATTGTTCTACAAAGAGGGAATGCGAGGAAGTAAATGCTCTGATTGAAAGCAAGGGGATTTCAAGCCAGCCATATCATGCGGAGCTTAGTAAGGCTTTAAAAGAGAGCCTTCAGAAAAAATGGACCAAAGGAGAGATTAAGGTACTATGTTGTACCACTGCTTTTGGCATGGGTATAAACAAACCGAATGTGAGAGTGGTAATGTTTCACTCCCTCCCTTCATGCATGGAGGACCTTTTCCAGGCCTGGGGTCGTGCTGGCCGTGATGGACTTCCTGCCAAATGCTATTTGTATTTTTCATTTGGAGACAGAGTTTTCCACGTAAGAAACATTTTTGACCAGCACAATTTTGATTCACAAAGGCAAACTTCCTCTCTTTTACGGTTTCAAAGGGTCTTAGATTTTGTGATGTCTAAGGAATGTAGACGGAAAAAATTAATAACATATTTCAACCCAGAAGAAGCTGGTTTGGCCCTATGTGATGATTGTGATATTTGCAAAGATTCTGTGGCAAATACACCTCTTACTAACGACTACACACCACAAATCACCAGAATAATTGAGTTTCTTCAGGTTGTGGAAAGTCCCATCACTATTAAGTACCTGGCTCAAGTTGCATCTGGAAAAATGAATAAGAAAATTAGAGAAAATAGAGATGAACACTCTTCAATTTTTGCAGTTTTCAAGTGTACTGTTAATGCATGTGAACTTTTCTTGCGACACGCTGTAACAAAGGACATACTAAGAGAGGTGCCACCTGCACATGGAGTGAACAATAATTGTTCCTACTTGCAGCTGAAACTTGGAAGCCAGTACTTACAGTATGTTAGTGGACAGACCAAGTTAATGTACCGTTCCTTGTAAGGCTTACAGGTTGGTGCCTGCATTACTGTCTCAACTGCTGATCCTTAAATTACTGTTGACCATTGACACCCCAACACCTCCAATTGGTTATTGTCTGGAATTAAATGGTCACAGCTAGAGTTTAAGGCTAATTTGTCATCAGTTACAGGCCAAAATAAAATTCAAATTACAGTGTAAGGCTATGAGACAAAGAATCAACCTAGGTGAAAATATTTTTACCTGAATAATTATAATTTTGACCTGTATCACTTTATGTGTGGTGGAGGTAATTGGTCCACTAAGCTTTGTCTGTTAAATATAATAACCAACATGCCTGAGTATTTTCTCTCACTTTCTATACTCTATGCCTTTAGCATTGTTTTTACCTAGGAATACATGTAGTTCATGTGAGGGAAACTTCAATAATTTATCAGTTACAAAGTGTAAGGCTGTGGTAGGGAAAAGTCTGCATTTCATCTCCTTAAAATGTTTTTTGAACAGCTCTTCTCCCCGCAACTGTGCATTCTGGCAGTCTTTGCGTAACTTCTGTTTCACTGATGGCAACTCCTTCTTGTTACTTGGGTAGGTGGGACCTTCCACTCTCCCTTTATCACAAAACCACTGTTCTTGTACAGCAAACCAGGCAACTTTAGCATGCTCACTTGTTGAATCTGGTACATGTGTTTTTTTGGGCGATCTCACATCATAGGCAGCTTTGAAAGCTGCCTCAAGCTCTGCACAGAAGTCAAGAATAAGACTTATTCTCTCTAATCCCTGGACTGTTGCTTGTTTTTTTGCATACATCTTTGTTCTTCTTACCAGTCTCTCCTCTATGAATTCGTCATCTGCCAAATCATGGCCTGGACGACCTGACAATGAAATTGTTCTGTTTCTCCGTAGGGTTTCCCTCAATGCAAGGGGCCATGTACACATAATGCTCACAATGTGCACAAATGCTTCATCTTTGTAGTTCTTCTTGTTCATTGAAAAAAAAATCGGAGCCAAAAGAAAGTAACAAGCTTCCAGGGCTTTTCCATTACCACACCTAACACTAGTGTGGAAAAAGTCTAAAAGGAATAGATGATCTAATAGATTTTGTTTGTGGTATGAAAAAACTGCATCCCTGCTGGAACTCTCGTCGAGCCATCCTTGGAACCTTCTGCATAATAGATCTGTGTCACCCTCACCATGGTGCAACCGATCTTTGCTTGGAAAATAGACAGATGTTTCAAATTCTTTTACCACAGCAATGGCCATACTCCATGTAAAATCTTTCAATGCATCAATGTTGCGTTCCAAATTTCCTTCTTTAAATATTTTTTGGAAACTTTTTGATGTTACCTGATGTCTACCTAGCAACTGTCTCATCAGATAATAGAATCCACCAGGGCCAAGGATTTTACCACAACATTGAGCTAAGTAGCCCTCCGTGTGAAAATCACCTGGCTTTTCCATGAAAGTTGAAAATTCATCAGGTGCTCTATTCCTGACAGATCGCACATTACTGCAGGTTTTTTGGTCACCAAAAGTGATCACTTTCTTTCTTACACTAATCACCTCGTCACTTTTTTCACTTTGCGGTCTATTTTCTGGTGCCACACCAGTCTTGCTAAGTGCTACTTCCCCTTTTCCATCAAGATATTCTGCAAAAACAGCCACCGCCCCATTCACTTCTTCGTTGATGTGTTGCAAAATTGTTGCTTTAATGGCAGGGTTATCAATCAATTGAACCAGTTCTGATGGCGGTGGAATTAGACCTGTAAATGTACCATGTGTTTTAGCATTGTATTTCAATAGCAACTGTACCATTTGAAACTGCTCCTTAATGATTGCGGTCATAACTGATGTTACACCACATCCCTCTGGTTTGTTAATTTCTGCACCAGAAACTAAAAGGCTCTCTGCTAGTTGGAGATCATTTTCTTCAACTGCCAGGTGTAGACATGTGCGTTTAAACTGGTCCTCTAACAACAACCATTCACTTTGGCGCTGCCGCAATATCATGGCACTTTGCTGCAAATTCTTTCCACGGGTACAACTTTTAAGTTTTGCCATTGCATTTTTCCTTGTTTGTTCAACTTTTGCACAGAATTCTTTAAAATTTAATTGTTTACCATTCCCTTCAGTAACTTCTACTTCTGAATCAGAGTCATGAACACTATCTGAAGAATCTTCCCCTTGTTCATCTGTGATATGCTTATCGTTGTCTTCAAGGGTCTTCCTGAAAACTTTCATTTCTTCATGGTGATATTTTAAGCCTTGGTAGAAAAGGAATCTTTCCCTTGCTGCTGAAAGATTGAACTTTCCTGTCGTGTGATCCTTTGGAATGTAATTACTTGAACGTTCACATTGAAGACCAAACTCTTTTGGATGATGGATGCAGTTCCACTTGTAGTGGTTTCATCATCAATGGACAAAGGTAAAATCATTATCTCAGCTTTTTTCCCTGCATTTTGGGGGTAGTCATATTCCTGCTTTGGGACATTAACATTGTTTGAAAGTTTTGAAGGCTTCTGAAAGTTCTCAAGTAAGGTATTGATTGATTTTTCATCTCTGCTTTTCAGATCGTCAAAGGTGATACCAATGTTAAGGCCATAATGAAGCAACCTTAGCAGCCACCTGTGTTTGGCTTTTTCAATGATAGTGGACAGCTCCTTATGAGAATCTGTTTGAGAGTAGATTAAATTTAAAAATATATGAACCTCTCATGTGATATAAAGCCTGTACAGTTCAACCTTTTGCATTCTGCATAAACAACCTGTTGAACTGCCTGTTAAAAAATCGCTCTCCGGAATTTAGAGATCATACTTTTAATATCCCTATGGGTAATGGGTTCCTATCAAGATCATCATTGTGAAAACTTGTCAAAATCATATGAATTAGAGCACTAATTATAGTATGATTATTATAACCCAATATTATCATTAGTATCATGTGATGATGTACAGAAAGGTATGAAACAGAGTTATCTATATCATAAATTTCAAGGATGACATGGCAGTAATTTATAACATGCCATTGTTACAAGAGCTGGAAGTTTTTATTCAATGGTCACTCAATTTAGGAAGGATCAATGGGATTTGAATAAAAAGCTTGGGTACATCACCCTAATGATCGAAGCCAATGACCTTAAAAGAACTAGCCAAGAGAATAACCATAACTTAACTGACACTTGGTTATTAATTCTGTGTAAAAGAATATGCAAATAAGGTCATGTGACCTTCAAAGGCTATTTTGCACGAAAAAACTTAAATTAGAAATGGCACCAGTTTATTCAAGCAGTCAATCAAAGAAGTCAATACCAAAAATGTCCCTAGGTGAACAACTAAACATCTGTCCATCAAACGGTTTTTGAATTTCGTCCCTTTTTATAAAGGGTAACTTAAAAGGCCTGGTCACCGAAATGATATACCTATTAGCCTCATCACTATAATGATAACTGCAACTTCCAGAAAGAAATGAAAAGTGGTCCTATTTTGCACTAAAAATAGCCTTGATAAGTCACGTGATAATTAATGACTACAACCATAATTCAAAGATATTGAAGTTGCAGGTAGTCTGTCCTCAGGTTATTTTGTGCTATATTGAAAGCTTGAAAAGTTGGCTCTACCCCCTCTGTTTTTGAGGAATTAAATAGAAGACCCCAAACCTTAATTTTTCTGAAGAAGAAAAAATAATAATTTGAGAGTATGTGTTTCACTGTAAGCATGACTCATTTTGACATCAACTTTACCTACAGTTATAATAACTACCAAATATGCAGTAAATTGATTAGAAATGTTAATAAGTTAAAACCATACATTATTTGCTAATACTAGATACCTAAAAAGATGTCCTCAACAGTTAGGGCCAATATATCTTTCTGAGGTTTACAAGCAGTGTCAGGACTTTCCCAAAGATGTTCAATGCCATCAATATTGGGCTTCCAAGCCATACACATAGTAAGGTTCCACATCACTGGTAGAATTTTTCTCTTCAGTCTAGAAAATCGGGCTTTACCCTTGTAGATGTTGATATTGTCATATCCTATTATCAGGGGTGTGCTAGAAGGAAAAGCAACTGGTATGGCATCAGTGTAAGTGTTAAATAGACGACCCATCCACTTACGACTGAAAAAAGACCAAAAACGAATTTTTAAGTAGCAAATAAGAGCAGATTCGTCTCTTTTTGAAATAATGCAACACAAATCACATGTCCTGTTTTTTCTGTCTTTTTATATAGTTAAAAAAAGATATGACATATCCTGGAATCTCGTACTTTTAATTAGACCATCCCTGAAAAAAGACACAATATTAAAGAGTGTTGACTCTTTTGAGATGTAGATTGAAATGTACGTGGGTGAGTATTTGTAAAAGTGGCATTATATGCTGTAATGAACTAACTCCCATAGTTTTTTTTAAACTTGTAAGCTGGTATAATTTCATTGGTAAATGAACTGCCCTTTAAAATGAGCTTCAGAATTGTATGTGTGTACTATGCATGTAAATGTTGATCAGGGTTTTGACCATTTGAATCACTGAAATGTATATGACTGTAGTTACTTACTACCACTCATAGCTCTTGCATAATCCTATTGAAGACAGAAGTGTTAAGATAGATTTCCCTCCACCATTGGCTATTAACAACAGGCCAAATAAATTTGGAAAATCTGACAATGACTTCTGTGACCTGATATGGGTAATAAAAGTTAACAGTGGTAAAGCTTGCTTGAACTTGAATAGGGCATTTCTCTCACTGTTGTCCTGTGTGTTGGTTCCTTCCACCAATGCTTTAGTGATACTTGCATGGGCATTTCTTCACAACTTTCTCACACACTGTTTCAAAGTACTCATTTAGTCCACTTTTTTGCAAAGTAAAAAGTTCCTTGGCATCGATTTTGCCAAGATCAATGCCACTGAATTGATCAAAAAGCTTTATTTCTTCATGCAGTTGACAAGTCTGAGAAAGTGACAAAGAAAATGGAGACTCTTTGGTTGTATCAGTGGTGAACAAGTTTTCCAAATCTGCTTTCTTTTGTCGTAAGTTGCTGTTTTGGTACTGATCTGTTTCCTTGTCAATGGCCATTAAATTGTCAAATATATATCTACATTAAATTAAGGCAAAATTTTTTATCCAAACAATCTTTTTTGATATCAAATAGTATTGCTGGTAAGAAAGGAAAAGTTCAGCGAAGGACAATTGTGATCTCTTTAAAAAATGAGGAATGTTATCACCACTAGGCAAGGGAGTATGAGCCAAATATTAATTTAAAAAAAACTCACTCAGATTAATTCAAGGATACACATTACTCCTTGTGCCTTTTCCTGCCATTTTAATCCGTTTTCTTTCTACAATTCTCAGTTTCCGTATAAATATAGAGAGGTGTGACCCTGGGTCCTCCTTGTAGGCATATTAGTCAAAAGAGCTCCCCGACATTCCCTGGTTCAAAGCTTCCTCTGAGGCTGGTATCACGTTAACCCTTTAAACCCGAAGATCAAAATTTTAAATCTCATTTGTTGCTCCTATTCATTTCCTATAGAAGAAGTGGGGAGAAGTTTATAAAATATCAAACAAATTCATCTTGTGTTAACATGTCTTATATTCTCATGACCACTCTTTTTCACAAAGCATTGATATTACAAGGAGAACATTCATGGTGATCAGAGTTACAGTCATCAATTCATAAGTTTTTAGACGTCTTTTAGTTGATGTGTACAGAGGTGTGAGTTCGAACCAAGTCATGTTTGGAAGCTCTTTAATCCTTCGAAATAAGATGTGGAATGACATCATTACTTCAACCCTGTTTCCTCACACCAGTCTGTAGAACGAACAGCTCTTCAATGAAATGAATTCAAACACATTGTATTGCAGGCAAGCTTCTTACCGTTAACGTTAAATACTCCATCTTTTCAAAAAGTTCCATTCTAGTTTCTCGAGACATGTTCATGTTCTAAACATTGGAGAAATGAAAAAAAAAAAAACAAAAGGAAGACAAACTGAGCCTGCACCTTTTAAATTGAAGAACCAGACAAGCGTTCCCTATTTATTGCAACAAAAAATAGTCACTAATTCTTCTTGTCTAGTAAATTCACACAGTAATCTATTGAGTTCTTCTCTTGGTTGCTTACTTGTTGTTGCAGCGTGTCTAATTTCCTTGTGCTTGAAACAAGCCGTTTTTCAATCTCGCCCAGAGTTTCATTCTGTTTATCTCTGAAATAAAATTAATGAAAAAAGACATTTGAAATTAATGTTACCTTGTGTAAGGACATAAGTACTACCTCAATTGTCTGGAATGCCTGATCTCTTCACCAACAGTCCTAGGCTGATTGGCAAAAAATGAAAAAAATGTCTGTTTGTGCGACCGATTGTCTTATCAGCAGCCCGGCTGCTGATCAATTTTATCTCTGCTTCTTTGACTGAAAATATTAAAGGCGTTATTGGAGTAATTCTCAAAGCAAGTGGCCGATTCCACTGAGGGAATCAAAGATCTAGCGCTGACGCTGCTGACGAACAACTACCCGAGATCAAGAAGATCCGACGCGAGGAGACGAAGTCCTTTAAGAGAAAAGGAAACGAGATTCAGTACACATTCAATGCTAAGCTTCAGGATAGTCTAGTCGAAGTGAAATCCAACCTCGAGTAAAACGTGGATTTTGGTACGTCTCAAACTAGATATTTTCACTTTACGGTTTTGTCCTTGGGACAGTACAGCAATATTCATATTTTTCTGTTATTTAACGGTTCCCTCTTAAAACAGTGCATCCTTTTCGAAATTTTCTTGCAGTTCTTTTGCAATCTTGCAGTTTAATCTCATGGCGGCCAAAGTCCAAGTGTCTCTGAAGGGTTTGATTTGTTCTGAACGTCTTGATACAGCCCTGTTCGGGGCAAGTGAACCAAGGAATGCCCTCGTCATTTGTAGGAGAAACGACGGTCTGTTTGGCTTGGTCACCAGGCGGCGGCGTCGAAGCTTCCTTTAACAACCCGGTAGCGTTAACCGGATCACAAAAAGGCAATATTACTTTCACCCCTGTCTCACTCTGTGGCTGACCCACCTTAGCAAGCTCTTGTTTGGAAATTTTCCTACCTTCTCCAACTTTAAACGCCTTCGAGACAGTCATTCCACCATCTTCACTATATTCGAAGTTGTTTAACTGGCTAATACCACTTAACTTGGGCGCGTTAGTTGTTTGCTTTCTTGTGTCTAATTCAATCACTGAAGCGTCTTCCTTCGCTTTAAGAGAACGGACAACGTCATCTTTCATATACGATAAAGCGGTGTAAAATTTCCACCTCGACTGTTGACCTTCTGTGGTTTCTTTCTTTACTTCCCTTGTCAATGCCGTTCTAAGGCTGTGTAGTTGTTTTTTGAGACATCTTGGTGAAATATTAAATTTTTGAGATAACTCATCCAGAGCTCTTGACCTTCGTGGCTTGTTTTTGTACTCTGGTCCACAAGTTTCCCACAGACACGGGTGCTTTTCAAGTTCTTTGAACAAATCTTTTCTTTGGGCCTCTGACTTTTTTTTTTTCACTAACAAATTCACAATCTTGGGTTTCAACATTCTCAACCTCCACAACCTCGGCCATGTTTACTTCCTGCCCAAATCTGCCCAAGGTCAAAGCGCGCTTTACTCACCATCTTTCCCGCGTTTTTGGTGCGGAAAATTGACCAATCACAGGTGTTGTGAAGCGTAGCAAGTTGTGACGCGAATCATAAAATTGAAAGTTTGTTGCAAAAAAAGTAGAACTCAGGTCAACTTTGCGCAACATGTTGCCACAACTTGCAACATCGAAATTTGTTTCGTGACAAGTTGAGAGCGAAGGTGGTAATACGGGCAACAACGCTTTTCAACTTGCAACGCAACAATGTTGCGCGACAAGTTGTGCGAAAATGTTGCCCGTATTACTTGACCTTAACGTTGAGCTGCGATTGTACACCTTGTACACATCTTCATTCTAGTCTAGGTAGTATCTCCACGTTCCACTCAATTTCAATTAAATTTCTTAACCACGAGACAGTCACTTTACCCACAATTCATACAGTTTTCGTTGTTTTAACCTTCATCTCTTGCGGCAGTGAAGGCCTAAAGTTACTCACCTATTTTCTCTTCCATGTTTTCCAAAACACTTAACTGGCTTTCTAAAGCAAGGGCCTTTTCACAGGAGGCCCTGCTTTCGTCTTCCAGCTCCTACAAGGGTCAAATAATGAACTGAGTAACACGTTAATTTGGTACTTCTTAATCACTTCGTCTGCTGAAGGGTGGGCTCAGTTGATAGAGCATAGGTCTGCAAAGGGTCGACCTCCGACCAGAACAATACTCACAAGTTGGACCTCTTCAATGGAGGGAGAGGTCATATCAATACAGTGTAAATCACCGTTAGACCAAGTTTTTTTTTTACTTGTTATTAGCAACGTTTGTACACAACTACTCTGACATTAAAATAAAACATCATTTTTTTTTTGCTATCTCTGATACGTTTCGTGCAGAAATAGCAGGAAAACACCTCGAATAATCATGTTCCTTCTTAAAATGACTTGGTTGATTTATTAACCGTCAAAATTATGAGCAAAAATTTACAGCATTGTCACCAACATGGGGAATGATGAATGTAAATTTCACTCAAATGACAATTGATCAAAAGTCTTTTATTTATAACCAGGTTTTACAACACTAAATTGTTTGTTATTGCAATTCACAACTCACCTTCACCAAACTCTCCAGACTTCTGAGTCTTTCCTTCAAATTTTCGTTCTCTTCCCGGAGAGAATTGTTTTTTCTACCTAAAAGAGTAAAAATAATAGTTTAGTCAGTTTCCGTATAAATATAGAGAGGTGTGACCCTGGGTCCTCCTTGTAGGCATATTAGTCAAAAGAGCTCCCCGACATTCCCTGGTTCAAAGCTTTTTTTTCTTTATGGCTCATCTCCATGCGTAATAATTCATTATTCTCCTCAAAACAGTTTGCTTTCCTCCCCAAATGTCGTATTAAATTGTTTGTTATTGCAATTCACAACTCACCTTCACCAAACTCTCCAGACTTCTGAGTCTTTCCTTCAAATTTTCGTTTCTTCCGGAGAGAATTGCTTTTTTTCTACCTAAAAGAGTAAAAATAATAGTTTAGTCAGTTTCCGTATAAATATAGAGAGGTGTGACCCTGGGTCCTCCTTGTAGGCATATTAGTCAAAAGAGCTCCCCGACATTCCCTGGTTCAAAGCTTCCTCTGAGGCTGGTATCACGTTAACCCTTTAAACCCGAAGATCAAAATTTTAAATCTCATTTGTTGCTCCTATTCATTTCCTATAGAACAAGTGGGGAGAAGTTTATAAAATATCAAACAAATTCATCTTGTGTTAACATGTCTTATATTCTCATGACCACTCTTTTTCACAAAGCATTGATATTACAAGGAGAACATTCATGGTGATCAGAGTTACAGTCATCAATTCATAAGTTTTTAGACGTCTTTTAGTTGATGTGTACAGAGGTGTGAGTTCCGAACCAAGTCATGTTTGGAAGCTCTTTAATCCTTCGAAATAAGATGTGGAATGACATCATTACTTCAACCCTGTTTCCTCACACCAGTCTGTAGAACGAACAGCTCTTCAATGAAATGAATTCAAACACATTGTATTGCAGGCAAGCTTCTTACCGTTAACGTTAAATACTCCATCTTTTCAAAAGTTCCATTCTAGTTTCTCGAGACATGTTCATGTTCTAAACATTGGAGAAATGAAGAAAAAAAAAAAAAAAAAGGAAGACAAACTGAGCCTGCACCTTTTAAATTGAAGAACCAGACAAGCGTTCCCTATTTATTGCAACAAAAAATAGTCACTAATTCTTCTTGTCTAGTAAATTCACACAGTAATCTATTGAGTTCTTCTCTTGGTTGCTTACTTGTTGTTGCAGCGTGTCTAATTTCCTTGTGCTTGAAACAAGCCGTTTTTCAATCTCGCCCAGAGTTTCATTCTGTTTATCTCTGAAATAAAATTAATGAAAAAAGACATTTGAAATTAATGTTACCTTGTGTAAGGACATAAGTACTACCTCAATTGTCTGGAATGCCTGATCTCTTCACCAACAGTCCT